GTCAAACCCACCCAAACCTACTTTACCCTCCATCACTAAAATCACCCTGTGAACACGAGTCTGTAGGAAAAAGCAGGTTTTGGATCAGGGAGACAAATATGTCTTCAACCCAGAGACCCATGATACTCAGACAAACACAACATCATGAAGATCACCCAGAGATAGTGTTCTCGGGTTAACCTTTGTACATGAAAAATAAAGTTTGACCTTTTTCCTTTTTATATTTTTTACAGTTGAATGAAATCATCTGGACCAGCTGAGCTTTATTTTTCTGATCTGTGTTCTTATTGTTGTTGTTTTTGTTGTTGGATTGTGTCACACTGAAATGATAAAATCAGTCCTATCTTTATTCTTGTTGTTGAGGTTGTTTTTGTATTTCCACCTCCCGCCGCTGGTGTCGCTGTGGTTTTTAATCACAGCTAAAATCCGGTTTAGTGTTTCCGGGGTATTTCTGTGATGAACACGCGTGTGGAGAAAAACTAACTTCACATTTTTACACCAAAACACACCGACACGTTTTTAAACAGTCACACCAAGGAGGGCTGCTGGAGCTCGGACTGAACCTGTGAAGAGAGTCGGAGAGTTTCGGCCGCCATGGCTCCGGTGAGTTTATAACTGAGGAGGTTTTAATTCAACTTTACACAGAAGTCTGGTCTTTAAAAGATCCAGATTGGACTGATTTCACTTTTCAAACATGTTTTTCCTGCTTTATTTTAAGTTTCTCGATCCAACTCTAAACCCAGGCAGCACTTTTAAAGTTTAAACCAAACTCCACTGAGAAATGTGCTGATTTAACGGCTCAGAGTCAGGAGGAAAGCTGTAATGTTTAATAAAAACAGTTTAAATAAATGTTGTTAAATCTGTTTTTTTAGATGGAGTCTGGTCTCTCAGACTCTCTCTGTTCTTACTGATTAGAACACAGAAAGTACTGCTGCTGTTCCTTTACACAGACTGCTTATGAGCTCCCCCAGTCCACCACCAAACCCCATACAGAAATTGACTCATTTAGATTAAATGCACCTTCGGCGGAAGAGAACATACTTTGTTGATCACAGTTAAAATGATTTTCTGATATTCTTGGTCTCCTCTTTTTATCAGCTTCAACAAAATGAGTTTAAAGATCCTGCTGATCAGTTTAGAGTGATATATATCCAATATATTTGTACATAATTACAGGTGATACAGAGAGGAGAGGAAACTTCTCCACCTGTAAAATTATCTTTATTTTCATCCAGATAAAATAAACAGGAGTGCACCGATCACAATGTTCTGGCAGATCACAGATCTTTAAAAAGTTTGATGTACGGATGCCGATTTTGGCCGATACCACGTTTTTTTATAACTGACAACATAAACCCTCGATGTTCTAATCTTATTTTAATGAAAAACATTAAATAATACTTGTGAAACAACACAAACTTTTAGTGTTTAACTGCACATGAGGTCGTTCTCTCAAATATAAATGAAAAGTTTATAATATTTCTGTCCAAACTTTTAAATTAAATCAGTTTCTTTTAGATTTTGATTTTACATATTTTAAAAACTAACAATACTTGGTTACATTCAGCTCAGACTGCAGGCCTGTTTTTAACCTCTTACCAGAATAAAGTTCACAGCAGTTTTTTACTTTTACAAATAAAGGAAATCACAAAGTTTGAGGAGGTAAGTATTAGAATAATCGACAGGACAAACTAAACTGGTGGGCGGGGCCTGTCATTCTGGTAAAAAGCTACAACAGCTGACCTTCAGACCTTCGCTGAGGTCGATAAGATCGGAGGATAAAATCGGTTTCATATGTAAGACTCAGCTGATCACTGATACCCCAAAATCGAGGAAATCGGCACGAACGATTGGCCGGCCGATTTATTGGTGCGTGTTTAAAAATAACCTTTCTCTCTGATCTTTGTCTCTCTGGTTCTGTTGATTTGGTCTGTGATTGTGAAATCAAAGAAGGTCAAAGGTCATGTGTTCATTTTGTCCAATCAGCCACGTTCGAAGAAGCGTCGTCCGACGTTCCGCCGTCTGCTGAAGACGAGCAATGTGAAGCTGGAGAACAAACTGAAGAACCGACAGATGAAGCAGCAGAATGTCGCCAAGAAGCAGCGAAAGGAGCAGAAGAAGCTAAGAGCGGCGGTGAAGGACACCATCATCAGAACGCCACGCCCACTGGAGACCTACAAGAAGAGACCAGGTGAGGGAGGCGGGGTCAGGCCTTTGATATGATGCTAAATTTAAAAAAATCATCAAACGCTGACCTGTCACTCATACTCGTTAGACGATGTTTGGATGGACTTCATGTCCCATGATGCAATGCTCCAAGTTTCCTATTGGCTGATGCTTTGACTCTCTTTGACTGACAGAGGAAGAGGAGGAGGAGGAGGAGTTTCTGGAGACCCTACCCACAGACATGATGGAGGAGGACGACCTGCAGCAGATGACCGCCATGGCCCGACAAGCCTCCTTCGTCACCAGAGACCTGTCGTCATGGTAACGCCCACAA